CACTCCTTAACACTAGCCCACCCTGAATATCATATATGCAGATTCTATACTCAAATCAATGCTCAAATCCAAGTCTAAAGCATAATTAAGATTTTAGCTGATGATTTATTATCATGAATCGAAGATATGACTCTTCACAAAACATCCAAAAGGAGGGTGAACAACATTAGTTGGCAAACAGGCGAACCGGGAAAACGCGGAGAACTCGGTGTCCAAGTGTCCCGAGGCGAACATCACCGACGAAACTTGGGGGACTCTTTTTCCAAGTTTTCAGAGGCAGACAACACCGACGAAACTTNCGATGATGGAGACAAAGCAGAACGAAGTGTGGGTGACGACGAAAACCCATGGGAGAAGGCGACGCCACGGGATGGAATCCCGAAGCACCAAGCGTATGCGATACTTCTGCGGCACGATGGAACTAAAACAAAAAAAAATTAAGACAACATTAGTTGGCAAACAGGCGAACCGGGAAAACGCGGGGAACTCGGTGTCCAAGTGTCCCGAGGCAAACANACTCTTTTTCCAAGTTTTCAGAGGCAGACAACACCGACGAAACTTCGGAGGGAGCTTGTTGAGAGAACCAAAGGCCAACAACAACAACAAAAAATTGAAGCAAAGGTGAGAGAGAACGGACATCCAGGTCGCGGCAGTTCCCTGATTCAGATGAATGCAGGCAACAAGGAAGCAGGATCACCCGACACTGCGTGTCTTGAGGCGGCGTTGCCCCAGCGTTCAAAACAAAACAACCCAAGGAAAGGAAAGAGACAACACAGAAAAACAAAGCAAAATAAAACAAAACGGAAGGTGACAGAAAAAAAACAAAAAACAAAAGCAAAACGTCGGTGAGAAGGATGGCACAAAAGACCAAATAGGCCGATTGGTATTTCAAAACAACGACGCTAAGAAGAAACGGCGGGAACAGCCGACGGTAAGGAGTCAGCAAGGAGCGGAGTGCGACCACGGTTGTCGCCCAGAGGGCGCGAACGATGTTTCTCTAAACACCATGATCCATAGACGGCGACCAAGGCAGTGGAGTAGAGATGCGGTAAGGAGTCAGCAAGGAGCGGAGTGCGACCACGGTTGTAGGGCGCGAACGATGTTTCTCTAAACACCATGATCCATAGACGGCGTCCAAGGCAGTGGAGTAGAGATGCGCAGGCAGAGGCAGAACGCTTGGGCCTGGGTCATCCAAAAATCGAACGATGTACGAGCCGCCCTGATGAGCACCAATGCGTCCGGTCCACCACAATCCATCACGGGCCTTGTACCACAGTCGCGCGCCAACAGGGAGGGGCGAAGTGCTGAAACGGCGAAGCCAAGTCGCATTAAGCACGAGATCAGCCCCAGGAGGCAAATAGCCTTCTCCACGATTCCGGGCTAGCTCCCGCTGTGCCGCGCGAGTCCGAGCCACTCGATATGTACGGTTACCCTGCTTGCTTTGGCAGGCCTCCCGGGACCAGTACAAGAGGATGTGTCGACGGAATAGATCAAGGTCGGATTCCCGTTCCCATGAAGGAGTAGTCAGGCCTACCCAATGCGTCTGGTACAGGACAGCGAGAACGCCGCTACGGCGCCGCACAAGTTGATGTCCCGAGATGTAGTCGACCTCGAGGCGCCCGACAGGCACCGACACATCATCCGCGGTGACGTGGAAAGGTGGACATTTATCTCCGAAAGAGTGCAGAACATAACGCGAAAGCTCGGCGGGCAGAGATTGCGGCAAGTCGTCCGTCTCGTACGGATTGCGACAGGGCTTGCAACGAAGGACAGACACGCGACAACGAGCTGCCGGGCCGGAAAGATCGGAAGGCAGGTCCAGGTAGAGGAGTTTATGCGCCAACGGGCGGCCGTCCGGAGTGGCGTCGGCAGAGGTGGGACCCACTGCAAGAACTTTGTAGGTCCCCGTCCAGGAAAGTGCGAATTTGGCCTTGTTGAGCACCTGTTGGTCCGTGTCCTGCACACCCTGTCGAATTGTAGAGTCCGTCCGGTTAATTTTTTCCACAACATGACCCCCACTTTTTCTCGCTTGTTTTTGAGAGTTGACACGCGGAAAAAAGTTGAGAAGAACCGCAAGGTCGAGAAGCATCGATATCCGGGGTCAAATTTTTGTTTGGTGAAAATGGCCGTTTTTTGGGCGAAAATTACCCCGAAATTACCCCCCGAAACGCCGCGTATTGTCCCGAAACGGCACGTATTTCCCCGAGTACAGCCCCGCAGGCAGGGCCCTGCACCCTTAGCTCGGCAGCGCCGAGTAGAACAACCTTTTTCGCTTGATAGATATATATTCTATCTACATTAAGTTGTGTCCTATATATTCTATCTATCTAGAATACTATATACCATGTCGGTTAAGACCACATGTAACAATTTTTATCTCGGAGTATAAAGGAGCAGGACGCAAATGTAAGGTAGAATATCTATCTACCTTACCTATATGGTTACACAGATACAACATCGCGCCGGCTGGTGCTGCCGGTGAAGTGAGGTGGTGCGAGCTTTGCCGCTACGAAACGCTTCAACATCTTATCGGCAGCCTCGTTAGACTTTTTTCTGGCCTCCTTGGCCGCGGCAAGGGCGGCCTGCTCTTTGGCCTTGCGCTCCTCCGCGGTTGTTGCTTGGCCACGAGCCAGCAACACGTTGTCGGCCGTGTCGGTGGGCGAGCGGTGGTTCGTCCACTTCTTGAGGTCTCGGGTTTGCAAGTAGCCCTCAAGCCCGTGGCTGTAGGCATATATGTACAGCCAGGAAACACGGGCCCATTTTCGGCACAGTGACAAAGAGACANGTGTGTGTGGCGGCACCAAACTTTGATGGGCCATAGGCGCCATCCGCAACTGACTGACATGCCCTCTCCCCAGCTGAAAAAAAAAAATAATCAACAATCGTTTTTTTCTTTCGCTTTTAGAAACGCTCAAAAAAACACAATTGGTTCGGGAACCCCTTCATTTTTTTTTTCGCCGCATTCCCGAACTTTTTTTCAACTGTTCACCTCGGCAATCGCTTCCGCTTGGCCGATTTAGGGGGTAGAGCCACTCAGAAACTTGCTAAGACCCAAACTCAGGTGGGCAGAGCCTCGATCATGAGCTCAGCCCAAGCTGGGAGGGCGGCAGCTGGACTAGCGGCGGCTGTGACCAAACCAGGGGTGTGTGAACGCACAGTCCTTCTTGGAAAAGACAAGCACGTCGTCAAGCTCAGTTGGAGGCTTGTCTCCGAACGCGGGGTGCTGGTGACCGCGACACTCGTTGACTCGAAGCACAAGAACAGGAGCTCACAAACCTACAGTGGCTACGCGAAGGACAGCGAAGAGGCGGTCAGCGAAAAGGCCGAAGAGCTGACTGACAAGGTCCTCAAGAACAAGCGCGAGCGGTGGCAAAAGGCGCAGCAGCAGTCTGGTGGTGGCAGCAGCAGCGGAGGCGTTAGGAGGACAGAAGATAGCGCCGTCGCCGACCCTGTTATCATGGCTTTGCGGGGTGTCGGGAGAACCCGACCCAGGGTTGTGACAATTCAGCCTACTGAGCCGGTGAGATGCTAATGTCGCTAGAGGTTTCAGACAATCAACAGCACAGCAGATACGTTTGTCCAGGTCTAATTACAATGCACTCATCAATCAACGCATGCAGTCGTTTCGCCGACACACGAATAATTGCGCCGAGGGGGGTTTTAATTCCACCGAGAGGATCGAGTTGCATGAAACGTCTCGTAGTTGTACAAGCAAGAGCTCGTCGATGTCAGCTCCCACGGAAACTAAGCGCCCAATTTTGTGTGTGCAAATGGTCTCCCCATCAGTCGTGCCTTGCGCTTATGTACTATTGCGTTGCGCAACGTCGTACCCCCCGCCTCCTCGTTCGTCATGTGTGCACACAGACGGCGCCGGTCGACTGGCGCCAGCAGTCTGCGGAAACGTTTCTCGCGTCCATGGACAGCATGGGGTATGACAACGCGCTGCAACACTTGGAAAAGATCGGCTCGACGTTTGCGAAGGACACCCGTAAACGCTTGCGAGGGTTGGAAGACAAGGTCAGCACGGCAGTCTCGTTGGAGCGAGCAATCGAGCAGGCGCAAAAGCAACGTAGAACCAATGAGGGACGCCGCACGTTGCAAACGATCCTCACCGCTGCGGCCTTTCCTGTGGACGGCGTAGACGAGGTTCCATCGTTGTCGGCAGCACGTAGGGCAAAGGCGCTGGGGGTTCGCCAGCGCGCCTTCAACTCCGCGGTGGAGCGTGCCAAGAATTTGCTGTCCGATCTTCATCCAACCGAGGCCATAAAACGCGGTGTCTACTGGTTTTGGCCCCGAGCTAAGCAAAGCAATGTTTGCGGCCTACGCCACATATTTATCGGGTGAGACTGTTTCGGTGATGTATTAACTTCACGGGAGNCAGCGCGCCTTCAACTCCGCGGTGGAGCGTGCCAAGAATTTGCTGTCCGATCTTCATCCAACCGAGGCCATAAAACGCGGTGTCTACTGGTTTTGGCCCCGAGCTAAGCAAAGCAATG